TTATTATTATTATTATTATTATTATTATTATTATTATTATTATTATTATTTTTTTTTTTTTTTTAATTTAAAAATGTTGAACAAAATTCCAGTCAAATAAAATCATTTCCATTTCTCTTCTTAAAAATAAAGATTTTTTTAAAGCGAAAGTTCATTAAAAATATATTAAGTATAATACACCTATGCGCTTAAACAGAATAATCTATAGTATTTGTATTTTTCTCTATTACCGGCATTCGCCTATCGTGTTGTTTTATTTTAGACACGCGCTCATCTTCATCTCAGTCAAATGCAGCATGCAACAAGCAGCAGCAACAGCAACAAGCAACAACTACAGCTGCGGTAACAAAAAGAAAGAAAGAACTCAAAATATTAATGCTAATTTTAATATTTTTCGTGACATGGCTCACTTTGAAAGCGCCATTGCTGTCGTTGTTGCTTTGTTGTCTAATTTGTGAGCACACACACACACAGGCACACATGCACATCACACACACATTCACACATCAGGACTCGTGTGTAAGTTGCCTGCGTCAGTTCTAGTTGCCAGGAGCGACATGTAATTTTACTTGGACGAATAAATTGTACAAAGATTTTGCTGCTTTCATTTGCTGCTGCCTTTGCCGTTGCCTTTGCTGTCTGCTGCCACGCCCCTGCTCCAGCACCTGCCCCTACGCCTGCCCCTGGCGCCACTCACGTTCCACTGACATTTGCTTTGTGCTCTTTGTATGTGGCGGTCGTCCCGTATGTATGTGTGTGTGTGTGTGTGCGTGTGTGTTCCCTTTGAGCCGATTGGCCACAATTTGCGATTTATTTGCTCCAATTTTAATGCTGCTCATTTAAATGTAAATGTAAATGTAAATATATATGTATATGCCCATATATGCCGTAAGGGTCTGTTGGAAAACATAATTATAAAGTTGATGCCATATCAGATGAACAAAAATGAAACAATAATAACAACTAAGTATTTACGCTCTCTTACCTAACTCATAGATATTGGATGCTGACAGGCTCATTGGCATTCATTGAGTTAACTTGAGCAAGCAGCTCGAGCGACTGGAGGCGGCTGACAGACAGAGCAAATAAGTTAGCTTCGCCTGACAACCCTTGTGGATGCCACACACATTTGGTATGCATAAGCAGTAACTGTCGCACGCACACCTTGCTGCATATTTTCTTGGCGGCTGTCTCACTCTCTCACCGTCTGTCTGTCTGACTGTCTGTCTGTCTGGCAGGCAGTCAGTTGGACATTTTTCCATATTTTACACCACAAAAGCAATGCCCAGGCATACAACTTTTGCCACAACTTGTCTGTCCTACTCTCTCTCTCTCTCTCTCTCTCGTTCCCTCTCTCTCTCTAGCAATTTCAAATTTAATTCGCCATTTTGTGGCAGCCAAAGCCAGCAATCCACTAAGCCACCGCCCACTCACTTACCTTACCGTCATCTTGTGGTTTCTTTTTCAGTTGTTGTTGCTCTTGCTGTTGCTGTTGTTGTTGTTGTTGTTGCTGTTTTGCTTGCTTTTTATTACATTTGCTGTGTCTGCTGTTGCTGTTGCTGCCGGTGCTTCCTGCATAAAAAATGTTGAAATTCCTGAAGACATTTTACTTTGCAATTTCCTTACGAGTCGTTAAACATTTCCAGGCTATGCCAAAAGCACAGCAACAACAACAACAACAACAACGAAAGCGACCTCGACGACAGCAGCAAAAGTTAACAAAAACTAATTTAAAAATTCAAATTTTCTTTCCGTTTTTATATGCGCCACAAACTGTGCATTTATATGACTCTCCCTCTCTCTCTCGCTCTCTATCTGTGTGTGTGTGTGTATGTGAGCGTGTGTGCATGTATGCATAGATACTGGTAGTCTTTGTGTGTCTTTCCCTTCTGATAATTTGTATTCTTGTGGGCTTACGGTAGATCTTCTTGTCATGTTGATTTCGCCTCTATTATAACTTGGCCACCTGCTATATATGAGAAGTTTTATATGTATATAGAACAGCATGGATATAGCTTAGTCTGTGTTATATAGGGATGTATTGATATGATCACTGTTTGATATGAGCTTACACACCACTGCGTATGCAGAATATATTTTATAAATATTTTTTGGATAGTTCGCATTGCCATTGATCAATATATTGCTATTATTTATATATTTATATTATTTTTTTAGATTATTTATTCACATCATTTAAATATTTTAAAACGATTATCATATAAATAATATATAATAAATAATATATAATTAATATTTAGATATTTTAAAACATTTAACATATAAATAATTTAAATTCAAAATATTTTATTTTTATTGACCATTTTTCTGTTTAAGTAAATAATCTTGAATGAGTAAATACTTATAAATAACATACATACATATGTAAGTAAAATTTTAATGATGTATTTTGCAGTCTCAAAAAAGATGTCAATTAAAATATGCCAAAAATCTAAAACATATCCCAGAAATGAATTTCATGTTTGCTGAAGTTAATTAACCCTGAAATATATGCAAACATTTTGCAAATCTCTAGCGGATGTGACGTAAATAAAGCACACAAACAAACGCAAAGGCACTTAGCAGTTGAGTGTTCATTACAAAATAATGCAAATTTTAGATCATTAATATCAATCAAATGTTTGATAAGACAAGCAAACACACACACACACACACACACACACACACATACATACGCTCACAAAGGCTGATGTTGCCTTGGCATTTATTAACCACTAACATCGCATGGCAATTCGAGCCTGTGGTGCGGCAGCCCCTCCCGCTGAATAGGCCCATAATAAATCCGGTGACAATTGTTTGGTTAATGTCAATAAGCCGCAGTCACAGCAAATTTCGAGCATTTACATAGCGCGCTACATTTGTATCTCATTTCGGGCATAGGCCGCAAATAGACCGGAGTCCTCGCACCCCTTTGCGGCAACATTTGACTCGTGGCTGCATCAACATTGCCATGCTCTCCTGCCTTGCCGGGGATAACCATCAGATTGAGAATGATAATGTTGCTGGCCCTGATTACACTTTGACACTTTGCCTGCTGTTTGGATATTGCAGGCGACCCTCAACCCAACCGCCCGCCAGGGCCAGCAATCTATCAAAGTGTTAGATACACATACATATATACATACGTACATGCTGAGTCATCAATCAATTTTATTTTACTCAATGCCACTCAACGATTTTATTTGGCTTCAGCCAATGGCCAAGAGACATTTGCCCGAATTGATGATGCTAATTCGATGCTCTGATTTCAACAATTGACACGCTGTCAACTATTTAGATAGTTAGTTAAGTAATGGACAAATAAACATTTATTAATTGTGCTCTGCCTATAGCAAGGCAACAGCGAATGTGTAAGCTATTTATTTGAAATTAGAATAAATACATATAAATATAATTAGAATATACATGTAAATAAAGATACATTTTTTTTTAGAGTTTACTTAGCACCTATGCATCTCCTTTGCTTGACGTCTATAATTTATAAATAATTTATGCATATACAAAGACAAAAGACAAACTTAATGAAGTTGAGCTCTGATTAGCTGAAATCAAAGTATATGGAGTTTTTGAATATTTTGAAATTTTTTATTGAGTATTGCTAAAAATAAGAAAATTTCCCTATGCTGCATTTCCGGGTTGGTAAGTCGTAAGGGCAAGCACTTGATCAGCTGTTAGATCTTGCCTAAGTTCATTAGTAAATGATAAGAGTTTGCCGTCAAATTTTTCTTTCTTTCTAATTCATCAATATCCACTGACTGCTAGAGCATTTAATTCTATGGTATTCCAGCGATAGTTCTCAAGACCTTCTTCAACTGCGCTTTCTGGACAATGTCGATCTAGCTGTTTCAGAGTTACCCACTAAGGACTAAGACTAAGGAGAAAGCGAGCATTGATAACTTCAGAGAAGCTATAGGCATCAAATTAAGTTCCTTTATAAATTCTATCATGACTCTGCTCGCTTTTATAAAAACCATATATTCAATAAGCGAAATAAAATAATAGTTACTGAGATTTAATTAAGATCTCAAAAAATAAAGAACACTTTATGCATAATATAAAACTCACAATAAGAGCATTAAATTAATAGTTTCGGAGATCAACTTTCAAATCCAACAGCAGAGAGAAACATTTCATTTGTGAAACGTGGCCATATACAATTGCAATGGGCAAATGAAACATAATTGTTGCAGGGCAAATTAACATACCGATTACATATTTATATACGTCATAGGCCCATAATATGGCATCGTTAAATGGGCTGCCAGACAATTTGCCAGACATTAAGAGCCAATTAACCCATCAGCTAGGCTAACGAGGGGCATGCGTTGAGTGCGCACGTAATTGCAATTATCAAATTAAATGGCTGCAATACGAAAAACAAATAAATAAGTTAAAAATGCAAAATATAATTAAACTTAATTATAGTTCATAACGGAAGCGCGGAGCTTGTAACATAATTAAGCAACTGACCGAAGTTGACCTCCAGCTGACAGCGGGTTGGCCAACCGACTGACTGACTGGCAGTCTGACAGGCGCATAGGCTCGTGGGCAGTTTAATTAATATGTTATGTTGGCATTGAGAGATGCAACACACCCAGCCGAAGGCGTCCCTCGCTCTGCTCTGCTCTGTCCTCCCTCACCGTACTCCAGAGAGTCAGTATATAATTCTCTTGCACCTTTGCTCTACCTTGTCTTTCCCACTCTCTCCCTCTCCCTCACCCTCTCACAGAGCCTTTGACTAGCTGCACTTCTAACGTGCGTGGCTCGCACTCGTCATAGCTTATTGAGCGCACAGGACGCGTGGTTAGCCAGGGGTCGCCCCTCCTCGGTTTGTCTATCTATGTTACCTTTTTCCTCTTTATATATTTTGACCACGCGCTATAGCAAGTCCTCCTAGTCGGTGCATTTGTGCGATTTGACAGTTTTATAGTTTCATCAAATTGGTCTAATTCGTAGAGTTATAAAACTGGCCGCGACTTTGGCACTTAGTTAAAATTTTGGAAACTTAAGTAGTTTTATTGCCGCATAGCGGTCAATGAACTAAAATACCCAAAGAAGGATGGCACATGCGTGTTAATCTCTAATTTGCTAGGCGATCGTTGTCCGATACACACACACACACACACTCACTCACACACACATGCACTCACATAGACTCGCTTTGTATACATTCAAAGTCAGCGGGACGCAACGGCACGGGTGGAAGGTTGACAGGACCTTCTGGTCGGAGCATTTTAATTGCCAAAACTCGGCGTGTTTCGAATTTCGGTATCTAAAGTTGTTTTTCTCATTTTAATGGCGCTATTTTCATTAGGCAAATGTGTGTCCGCATTTTTTTGCTTTTTAGATAAAAAATGTTCTACTCATTAGCATATAAAATGTATGGATGGATAGCTGGGGCACAGAATTGTCCTTTTTAATGTGTGTATACACATTTATTGCATATTCATCATTTTAATTGCTTGTTTTCATATTAAATGACTCGATAAGGCTTTTAAGGTTATTAGGTGGAGATGCCACATGTCCTGTGGCGACACTCACAAAAGCCTCTGCAGTCGCTCAAATTTGTCTCCAATTGTGAAAGGGTTCGCTAGAAGGGAATACAATTGAACTGGGCTCAACAACCTAAAATAATTTTGCTTTTCTTTTATTGTTGTTAAATTTACATGTTCATAATTTTAAAATTTTTTATTTATTTTTATTTGTATTCTTTCAATCTATAAAACTCTTTGTATGTTCTTTACATATTTCTACCTGAAATCATAATATACCCACACACATTTCATAGGGTATACAAAGAGAAGCGCAGCGACGGAGCAGCAGCAAAGAAGAAGGTGTAGGACATGATTACTTTTGCTTTGTTTCTGATTGTCGCTGTGAAGTCAAGAAAGCGTAGAGCATAAAGAGCAAAGAAATTACTTTGCCAACGAGTGAATGGCTATGAATAAACAAGTGATCAATGCAATGAAAATGATTTTCTGTGAATTGTAGCATCAAAAGCTTCACAATTGAGCGCACAAAGTACGGCATTGAGAACGGTGCGGTGAGCAGGCCGACATATTCAGGGGGACTGGTGAAAGAAAACACTTAGATTCAAAGGCAACAACAATTTTAATGACAAAAGGAAAACAATTTGCAAATGATTAATATTTTTGGACTTGGTAGTTTCCCTGCCCTGTAAATATTTAAGGACTTTAGGTTACGTTCACTTTAATTTCTCAAGTGTTTACCGTTAAGCTGGGATACCGCAAGCGCAGCTACCACAGCCGCATCTGGCGCAGAGACTGTCTGGTTCAGGACTCTCTGGTTCGTCAATATCAATGTCCGGGTCCACATCAGACTCGCCGAGCACGCAATCCTGGGCCGCGCAGAGGACCACGGCGAAGAGAATCAAGAGTTTTACGTTAAACATTGCGATGGGAAGAGCAGATGCTGTTGATACGAATGAAGGTATTGACACTGTTTGAGTCTGCAACAGTTGAACGCCTTTTTATAGTCGAAGACTGAGTTAAGTAATTGTTTAAGCAGATGTATTTTGAGATATTTTTGCAATTATTGTTTTTCTTACGAAAAACAAATATGAGATGCAGAGTTCAAAAAATGGAACAGTAATGTTATTTATTTACATTGATCTTTAAAAGATGTAGAGTACACTGTAATAATATCGATAACCTTGAATGAGGTCAGTGAATCGTTTAGGGAATTTTGTAGTCCGATGGCTTCTTATTGACAGACTAAAATAAAACTATATGCAGGAATTACTCTGATAAATTTGTTTCACAATATTTTTTCTGATTTTGATGGAATTCCAAGGTTAGAAAAAATCGCAATAAGACGGAGCTATTAATGATTTCCACAGGTAAAGAGTTATATATAAATATGTGTGTAAGTATTAAGGAATATATTAAAATAAATTAATGTAAAAATTGAATAAACTGTATCTGATGATTTAACTATAAACGATGTAGATGCTAAAATAATAATTGAAATAATCTTTATCTGAACTGATTGCCTTTTACGGATTGTCTTATATATACTCTCTGGAACAATGAATTATACTTATATACAAAAATTAATTTATATTACTTCAAGTACAGGGTATTTTAAGGTCGAGCATTCGGACATTAATTGTCATAATTTCCATAAAACAAAATTATTTTTATTTATTTATGATTATTTACATTATTGATCAACAATATTTATTGACCTTAATAATAGGGCTTTGCACCTAAATATTATTCAGGTGCGTCGCCTAATATTAATAACCTATAGTACCTATGGATTATGATTCATTCACTTTTATAATTTAACATATGAAAATAAAAATATATTTTTGAAATAAATGGCATGAAAGAAATGAAATTTCTCCTCTTTATTTATATTGCCTGTTTTACCCAAGAATCAATTATTATTATTAATTATTAATTATAATTATAATTATTTCTGATCATATTTTTAGAAAATAACAAAAACAGGCAAGACATGAAATTATTGTAAAATTCAGTTAAAATTAGTTAAAAATGCAATATTCCGAAACTACAGGAATCGATTCCGAAGTCTGCTGGAAAAAACGTATCAATGTATTTAAAGACAACTAAGTGACTCTGAACAGCTGAACAGTAAATATAATAAGTTTATATATAAATCATACGTAAAATAAATATACAAGCATTATAATACTATATTAGTATTTTTAATCGATCCTGAAAAGAAAATGTATCATTATAAATAATAAAATACGACATATTTAATAATTACGATCCTCGCTAAAACCAATCGAAAACCCGACACCCTGCACACCTTCCGTGTGTCAAATGAATATTAGCACATTAACATCGAAAAATCAAGTCTGACGCAAATATATGGATGGGAAGTAGCCAATGTGCATTGAAGGGATCACTCATTGATCACGGATTGGGGCAACAATTAATACCAAATACCAAAGCGCTGCTAATCGGCCTGATCACAATTTTTTTCATTGTGATTGGCTAGTGCGGCAAGTGCGGCGAGGCGTTCCTGAAGAAAATTGATACGGTCGTCCTTTACCATCATAAGGCTGTCCAGATACTTGGCCTTGTGGCTTATGGAGTTAAGATATCTTTTCTTTTTGTAATTCTCCTGGATCACTCGCTTGTATTTAGCATACGGCACGTTCTTTCCATCTTCTAGCATATCCGGCTCGGTAGGGTGCTCCGTGCTACCAGATAAACTCTGGGAGGTTTTCTTCTTGTTGCCTTTCGATGAGATCCTCTTGGTTGGGCTCACTGGCGATATTCCATCTCGATTCCAGGTCATCAAATAATAAAGCAGGCACTTCAATGCAGCCAGACTGCCCGAGGCAAGCTGCGTCAAGTCGCTCTGGGACAATTTCAGACCCACTTTACAAAGCACTTTGTGGTTAAAGATCTCCCAGTTTTCTAGCTTTAGGGCTAGGCTGCTGTGCGACTTGTAGCAGGACATGTCGACCAGCTTTGAATTTAATTTCTTAATTATTTGAGCAACGTTCACGACATCCGAGAGCTCGCGACGTGTCCGATTGTCGAGCTTTATCTGCAAATTGGACATCCACTTGGTCAACTCATGCAGTTCCTCGGAACTCAATGTTCGATTGAAGGGCATCATTTTCCTCAAAGGTAAGTCGAAACGCCGTCGTATTCGTTGATACAATAATTATTTTTAACTGAAAATTTTGAACTTGTCATTGATTTGATGTCTGACTTGTTTTTGTAAAAATAAGCTAAAATGTGTCGGTATTTTCTAGCCCATGTCGATGGTTGGCAGCCCAGTAGGCATCAATAGTTTTGGAAAACCCAATGAAGTATCCAAATAAAGCCTTTAAGGTTAAATTAGCTTTGCAATTTGCAAAGAATATAGACAGCTGGCCATAAACGTCTTTTATCCTATTTCGTTGGCTATAGGTTTCTCAATTCTGCCTTACCGTAACATAATACTTCTAGAACTTGTATATAAAATGTATATAGGGGTGAAATAAAACGTTCAGATTTAAATGATACAACAATTTTATTGAAAACAATTAAACAATTTGCCAACAATTATTATTTTCTGGTTCAGCATTTTGTCTGTAAAAATTCAAGAACTTTTAGGTTAAGTTCAATTTAATTTCTCAAGTGCTTACCGTTAAGCTGGGTCGCCGCAAGAGCAGCGACATCTACTATAAGCGCATTTGGAGCTAAGGATGTCTGCTTCAGGACTGTCTGGTTCGTCAATATCGATGTCCGGGTCCACATCAGACTCGCCGAGCACGCAATCCTGGGCCGCGCAGAGGACCACGGCGAAGAAAATCAAGAGTTTTACGTTGAACATTGCGATCGGGGGAGCAGATGCTGTTGATACGAATGAATGCTTGAGTCTGCAATGCCTTTTATAGCTGAAGACTGAGCCAAGTAATTGTTTGAGCAGGTGAATTTCGAGATATTAAATATATAATATCTGCCGCCTGTTCTTCAGATGTATTTATTTAGAAAAGTAAATAAAGGAATGAAATGGCAAAGCTCATAGAGCTTTTCAGCCTACAAGCTCACATCGAATTTAAAAATAAACAGTTGCTGACTGAAAGTTAAAGTTGCAGTACTTGCGAAGCTCATATGAGCTGGATCATACACGGGTATTGTGTTAATGGTTATGGTCCGATTTCAGAGCTGTTATTTTAACCACTGAAAATTAAAAATCAGTGCATAGTGATTTGTAAAAATGTATATAACAGGCAGATGGAGGCGTGGCACTCCCTATAAAGTATATATATATTCTTGATCAGGGCGACAAACTGAGATGCAGCCATATCCATCTGTCCGTGTGTCTGTCTATCCATCGCCGAGGTCTCAGAAGACATATGATTTAGAGATTTCTTTTACATGTATACGCAGTACAAGTTTATCATATCTCAGATTTTTACATACTCCCATTTTGCAATAGCGACACATTGACATCAAAATACCAACAACTCCAATGCCAACACGTAATGAGTATCTTAATATCCCTTAATTATCCCACAGTCAACATCCTTATCTTAAAGCCCAATAAAGCGAATATAAACCGTTTTATAAAAATAATTAATAAACTAAACATATATTTTATACATTAATGTATAAAATATAAATATATTTAAAAGAGAAAATGGTAAAAATATGAATTCCTTTGTTGCTCTGGCGTTAAATTAAATTGTTAATTGAAATTAATTCTTTGCATCAATCAAATAAAAAAATAAGTATACACTTTACAAAGATTTTGCAGTTCACAGATTTTAGATATTACACTCCCATTCACACTTTATTTGAAAGAAAAAAAAATGTATTTCAGCTACTATATATATGTATGTATGATTTACTTGCAAATACACACACTCAAACGTTCTTATCACCTTCTCAAAGATAGATGTAGATAGTTCCAGGGCAAGAATATTATTTAACGAGTAAGGTCTCATTTTATTGTCCACACTGCAGTTAGCAGAGCGGTTTATGCTAATGTATCTGTGCCTGTCTTTTTTGCATGTGTGCATAAGAGAAGTACCGAATGAGCGGAATATCAGCTAATTGCAGAGTTGAGAGAATCTCCTAATCGAGTAGTTTCGCCCCTGAGCATTCAATATATTTTTTCTAGTTTATTATAAACGGATAAAAACTTTTCCATAACTGCTATGCAGACTGTCTGAAACAACTAATAGCACCATGAATTCAAAGTTATATTTATTTAATTTCTAGATATTCATATTGTTGATTTGCGTTTATAAATATTATTGATTCAGTGTTTTATATTATTTAATTAATGTTCCCTGTGGCACTCAGATGCTTATGACTTTACTGACAATACTAGATTATAAAACTTTAATTATTTAGTTGCGTTTATAATTTAAAATATTTCTAAAATATTCTACTATTGAAAACAGCCCCAACCTTGTTCACCTGTGATTAGCAAAAAAATTATAAATTAATTCTCGCTAAAATTAACTACATACCATATATTTTGTATGTGTCATTCATATATAATAAAAATAAACAATTATCAACAAATTGAATGCATGCAGTTAAACTTTATTAAAAACAAGATTATAATTGGTCAACAAATAACATTGGATTAGAAGAGACATCCTTTGTAGTTCAGATAAGCTTAAGGGAAAGAGACAAAAATAATTAAATTTGATCTGTAGACATTATTTTGGGAATTCACTTACCTGTTCGGTTTTGGGCTGAGAATTTCTGAAGTGCGCACAAACTCTTGAACTTACGTTGCTTCAACTCGTCGGGCAAGCTCTTGCAGCCGCATTTTGGGCGCACAAGTACGGACGCTATCACTGGCTTTTTGAGGAGACAGACCTTCGGAATGAAATACTTACAAATCTCCTCCGATACAGGCACGAGTGCTAGAGGTCCATTTAAGATTCGATTAAATCAAGAACAGTTATCTAATAACAGATCACCTACGTCTTCTGCAAGTCTTGATTCTGAATTCATTCTCAGCATCCCTCAGGCAAGGATTTTGGATCGGACGACACACGCATTCGTCGAGTACCCAGCACAAGTTCTTTTGATAGATATTACACTTGCTTGGAGGTATGAAGATGGGCGGAGCTGGCTTGATGAAGAACGTGCTCTCCACAGCATAAACTACGGCAGTCAATACGAATAGGACACGAAACATTTCGAATTTCTTGTTAACAATAGACTAGTTAGGACTACTCTGGTTGCTACCTCCGGCGGAAGGCTTTTTATAGCAATTTTCGTTTAAATATATTTATATATAAATATACATTAAATACAAATATACATATATAAGTAATCATATTTGAGCAGCTGAGCACGCTAGGCAAATAAAGCCCATATTTTATATATTAATAGATTGCCATTTCAGCTCTAGACATGACTCACCAATGAGACAGAACTCTACTATATCATATCATATAGGAGACTGCGGATTTTTGTGAGAGCTGAGATGAGCCTGTCCTAAGCAGCTTCCACTTGGACAATGCTTGTGGAACTGGTCGAGCTTGGTTAGCAACATGAAATATGGGACAAAAATATGGAAAAATATATTCAAAATAATAATAATAAAATGTAAGATACGGCCATAAATAATGATGACACCTTTTCAGCGGTCGGTAATTACACGCAGCAGTCATTAGCTCATTAGCATTAGAGGAGCGGAAAGCGCTGCTCGTTGCGGACTGCAATGGCGCAGAAACAAAAGTCAAACAACGCCATTAACCCTTTGCCGAGGGGGGCGAGGCGGGGCAAGCCATGCCAGCTGCCCCCTCGCCAACGCTTGCTAATGTTGGCTTAGTAAGTAATAATAAAATAATAAGCAAAAAGTGTCATCATTTGAAGGGCGCTGGCGCGGGCAAATCCTGACGGATTTCGTATGTAATTACTTCAATTAAACCATCTGTGACAATTGCCGCAGCCAAACATGAAATTCAACTTTACTTTTAAAATTCCCAATTGAGTTGAGGCGCATTATCCTGGCAAGCAACCCCCAGGAGCCGGTAGCTCAACGCGCTTTTTACCTTTACCTTTGCGATGTTGTTGCTTTTTGCCGTTGTCGTTGTCGTTGTCGTTGTTGTTTCAACTCCTGCTGCTCCTGCTGTTGTTGCTGCTGTTGTGGTTGTTGTTGTCTCTTTTAATGGGGTGACATTTATGGCACTTTATCAACTCCAAAGTCAATAATGCCACTCAAGCATCTTACTTAAACGTGGCTTAAAAATATATACGAAAATATGAAGAGGCATAAAAAACTGTAGAGAAAATTGTAATGCGATAAAAATGAAATTTTAAAATTTATGCCGCTTATTGTCGATTCGTGGCGCCCGAAACCCAAGACGTAAGGCAGCTAATGCGACCCAAGCAGCTACAGAAGAAGAAGGAAAAAACTGAACGAATCAAATGCCCGTCCGCTCCCCGAAGTTTTTGTTATGACAACTGAAAGACATTTGAAATGTACTCCAAAGTGTGACAGAGAGCGTGTGGAAGACTGCGAAATTGTTGCAGGGCATTAGGCAAATGGATCCCGCCGGATTAGCAGCCCAAGCGCCCCAGAACCCAAAAACTTCAAAGAGGGCGAAGGCGAGGGCGAGGGCGTGGGGTGCAGATTCTCAAGCAGCCATTTGTTGACATTTAGGCGCTGGCCTGGGAATATCGCCTGAAACTTGGCGTAATTAGGAGTATCTTTGAGACGACTCACGCCGCTGACAACTTGATTACGTTTCAGCAACATTGTAAAAGTTAATTGCCAACGCTGCCTTAAAGCCTGATGAGCATTTATCACCCTCTCCCAGTGGCACAAACATCAACAACTTCTTCAGGCTCGCGTGTCGTGACGGAGTCAAGCAAAAAGCGGGGAATTCATTAGGCCCGCCACGTAGAGTCTTGTTACCACATTTTTCAATTATAGCACGTTTCCGGCTCTTGCCTTTTCTCTCTCGCCCATGTTTGCACCTAATTCCCTTTCTCTCTCTTTCTCTCTCTGTTTTTCTGGTTCTTTATTTTTTTTTTTGCGCATTCCCTCGTACGCAAATGAAGAATTATTGCATTTTAATTTGGCAGCCGCTGCATAAATGTGCCAAAACATGTGCAGGTGGTGCATTGGTTCGATGGCTAAGTGGCTCGCTGGCTCCACTGGGTCGTAGCCTTATCGAGGCGACTCGTCGCATTCCAGCTCTAATGAAGTGCAGTTCAAAGTTCAAACCGCCAACTAATTAGCTGTTGCTGCTGCCTCCAGCAGACGAGCCACTTCATTAAAATGAGTGCCCAAAAAAGAAGAAAAAACGAATACAACTTTCAGTCTCTCAGTGGCTCACTCTGCTGTTCAGTCAGCCAATGGCTGTCCCACAAAAATTTATTGTTAAAAGCCGCTAATGAATTATTTACTGCCCATTTTGCTGGCCGGCATGTCCTGTGTGTCCTTCATGATGCGTTGCCGTGTGGGGTTGCTGCCTTGGCTCCGACTCCTCCACGCATAACTCAACCAGTTCACACCCTTAATTAACTGCCTGCGTGCGTGCGTGCGTGTTACCACAGTTAACAACATGCCCCGGCATTAGCCAGCCCTGTTGGCCAACTTGTTTGTATTTTCAAAGTGCCCAAATTTGCGTGTTTTTATTCCCATCTTTTTTTTATAACTTTGACTTATGAGCGTATTGAATGAAATTGTCTAACTAAAATTATGTTTATTAGCGCATTAAATAAGCGTGACAAAGGCTGTTCCGGGCTTGAATCATGTAAGGGTTCTATGGAGTTGGATACACCTAGAATTACATTTCTATACTCCTTCTGTTCTACAAACCGTTTCAATAAGTTTTCTCTCTCATTGCAATACCATGAGCATTTATACAAGCGTTATCTGAATACGATTTAAATGCTCGCATAATACCAACTCGTTCCCCTATGCTAAGCAAATCAGTCTGAATTTCAACGATTACATTCATTCAATGCATCAATCATGTGCATATGAATAACCATTTTAATCACTCCGAGCTGCGAGTTACGCAGAAGAGCGAACATGAAGAATTGCGTATTATGACAGGATATCCTTGTTATGCCGTGAGCTGGCTATGTGGATGGTTGCGGGAATAAGCGTATTCACTTGACAGTCACTTTTGTTTTATTGCGATTTGCCAGCCCTGAGTTAACAACAAGAACAACCGCACACCGAAGAACAACAGCAAAAATTTCCACTTGGGATAACTTGTGAGCAATTGCAATTGCAGTGCGGCTGTGGCTGTGGCTCTGACTCTCACTCTCACTCTGACTCTGACTCTGACTGTGGCAAAGACAATGAGCGGTGCCTGCCAAATTGTTGTGGTGCAAAAATGCGGGCATATGTGCAAAGAGGCAATCGACAACACCAGAACAACGCAGCCATCAAGGAGTAAGTGCAGCACGAGCAACAACAGCAGCAACAACAACGGACCATTTACCAAGAAAATGAAAATTTATTGTCAGAAAATGAAGAAAAGCGCCTGGCAGCTTCAGCCCAGTCTGGTCTGCGGTTAGTGTTAGTTAGAAACGGCAACCAGGAGCAGTCGCAGTCGCAGCAGCTGCAGCAGCAGCAGGAGTCGCAGTAACTAACAAGGCAATCAAGGTGATGCTTTGTTGTTGCCTTGCCCGGTTACGTCTAAGGGAGCAACTATTCTGGCTTTCTTATGTCTCGAAGCAAAGAGTTAGCTAGAGTATGGCAATTGTTTAGCTCTGTGGATGCATTGTCACTGGAATTGCTGTCGATTTGTAGCTCAATAGAAGCGCACACACACACACTCACACACAGATGAAGGTGGGCAGGCGAGAGAAGTCCTCGAACACCAAACAAAGTCAGCGGCTAATGGAAAATATGCTCGCAAATGCCTAAAATGATAATGGCCAAACATTTAATGCACGTTATTGCTGGCCAGGAGCAAAAAGGCAATTTGAGTTTGGATTTGCTTAGGCCGCATCATGCTAGCTTTCATGTAGCCACCGCACAGCTCTGCCCCGCCCTGCCGCGCCCATCCCTTGACCATTGACACGCCAGCGTCGAGAGCTAATGCAGTGAAATATTTATTGAAATTGTCTGGTCCCCGGGGGCCAATGCGGCGTCGTCAGTAACTGCTATTAGGCGGGGTCTTTAGCCAACTGCTAGCAGCAGGGAATTGGATTGGATATTTGTATTTGGCTCCGACGCCTTGGCTTGGCTACCCAAAATGGCGAATGCCGGCAAATGGTCCGAGTGTGGGGCCGCAATTTACGAGTCTCTGTTTGGCACTTTTACCATTATTGCCCATCCGAATGTTTGGCTGCGTGGCTGCTTGGCTGTTTCGCTGCTTGTCTGCCGCATAAACAGTGCAAAGTAGGGCAAAAAGTTCGCACAGTTCTTCAGGCTCTCGTGCTTGATTATAAATAACGCACATTAATGCAATTAACAACAAAAAGGCCCGCGCACTCACCTGAAAGCGACCGAGAGCCGAGAGCCGAGAGACCTTCAAGAGAGTCCTTAGCTCGAGTGCCACTTCAGCTGGAAAGAAAACATATTTACCCTGGCACAGAACACGGTTCAGGGAAATGAGCGCGGGCAGCAGGGGGAACTGCAGGTCCTGAGGGCTGTGCGCTTGTATTTGAGCAAAATATTAGTACTGATATCTGGCTAAATGCTTGCCGCAATTATGCGAACGAAACCCGAAACGGATATGGATACTTGTAGCGCCTGCCCCGAGTCCTGCTCGCTGTTTGTTTGCGGCCACGTGCCGCGCATGTGAAGCTGCAACATGCGAGTAATTATCACACGCTTGTGGGCGCGTGCACATGCGAACGTTGCGCCGCATTGGCAACCCTGTCAACCGTTCAATCCACTTCACCTCCACACAGCGCCGACTACAAATTGTTGCAATTGGGCGTGGCCCAGTGCCGTGCACGCTGTTAGACCAACAACAGCAATAGTAACAGCAACAAACAAGCAACAAGATGACAAAACAAATGGATTCAATGTTCGATTGGCACGCGGCAGACGCGTCAAAAAGCCGTTGATTATGGAGGTCGACTCTAATGGTTCAGTTGTTTGGTTTTAAGCTCTTAATGGGCACTTGATGCTGATGTAACCATACGCACCGAGACAGCTGAGTAGCCGTGTTGCCCTGCGAAAGCAGCGTCTTTCACCAAAGGGAAGTCGATAAGTGCAGGATTAGCACACAAGCTTGAAGTGAGCAAAAAGAGGCTC